TGGAGGTTGCTATGAGCTGTGTGATGCCACAGCACTCCATAGAGGGTGATAAAGTAAGAATCTGTCACTACAAAAAAATAAAAATAAAAAAACTCCATGGGTGATTCTGGAGAAGAGCTTATGAGAACCTCTGACCTAGAGTTAGAAGATGAAGCACTATTGAGTAAACAAGCTCCTACACTATTTCCCACTGCACTGCCCCAGGCATTCTTCATACTGCGCAGGTCACTGGGACCCTCTCATTGGCTCATCAGTGGTTGGAGAGAAACTGTCCATCAGCCCCTCTGTTAATAATGGCGGAAGTACACCCCACCGTGAGTCTACCTGGTACCAATAAAAGCAAACTTAGACCTTCATTTTATTATCCTTTGAATAATAAAAAATTACTGCCTCCAATATGCCAGAGCTAGGCTTAAGGCAGTAATACAGGCCAAATGTTTGTGTCACCCCAAATTCCTATGTTTAAATCCAATCCCCAGGCAGGGTACAGTGGCTCACACCTGTAATCCCAGCACTCTGGGAGGCCGAGGCAGGTGAACTGCTTGAGCTCAGGAGTTTGATGCTTCTGTGAGTTAGGCTGATGCCACAGCAGTGCAGCCTGGGCAAAAAAGTGAGACTCAGTCTCAAAAATAAATAAATAAATAAATGAAAAAAAGAAACCCAATCCCCAATGTGATAATATTAGGAGGGGGGCCTCTAAGAGGTGATTAGGCCATGAAGATGGAGCCTTCAGGAATGGGATTAGTGTTCATCAAAAGGAGGCTCCAAAGAGCTCTCTGGCCCCCTTCCACCATTTGAGGACACAGCAAAAAGATGGTCTAGGTCGGAGCAAGGTGGCTCACACTTTTCAGAGGCCAAGGTAGGAGAATCCTCCAAGGCCAGGAGTTCAAGATAAGAACCAGCAACATAGCGATACCATTTCCACACACATACACACACGCGCTCGCGCACACAATGTCATTTTAAAATTAGGTGGGCGTGGGGACCACTTATGCCTATAGTGCCAGCTACTTAAAGTCTAAGGCAGGAGGATTGCTGCCATGAGCCATGATGGTGCCACTGCACTCTAGCCCAGGCACCAGAGCAAAACCTAAAAAGAAAAGAAAATGATGGTCTAGAACCTGAAAGCTGGACTTCCTCAGACATGGATCTGCTAGCACCTTGATCCGGGCCTTCTTAGATTCCATAATATGAGAAATAAATTTTTCCTTTATAAGCCACCCAGTTTATGGTATTCTGTTATAGCTGCACGGGCAGTGATGCACACTATCATTTTTCTCTTTGGAAAAGAGCAAATTAAGATTTCAGTATTTTGTGGTGGGTTCAGGTAAGAACTAGGCGGAAGAGAAGTGGAAGGTTGAGGCTGGCGGGTTCGAACCTGGCCCGGGCCAGCTAAAACAACGATAACTACAACAACAACCACCAAATAGCTGGGTGTTGTGGTAGGCGCCTGCAGTCCCAGCTACTCAGGAGGCTGAGGCAAGAGAATCACTTAAGCCCAAGATTTAGAGGCTCTTGTGAGCTGTGATGCCGCGGTACTCTAACCAGTGGCCTAGAGATACCAAATCACCACATCCCTTACTCCAGGGGAGGAATGTACTAAGTCTGTGGGGACACAAGCAACTGGACACCCAGAGGGCTATGGGAATGCTTAGAGGTGGCCCCAGGATGTTTAGGAAAAGTAGCTGTCAAAGGGCAGTAGAGGGGACCAAATGGAGAAAAGCCCCTCTGCAGCCCACAGCATGCACCTTCTTTGCTCTTGCACATCCAGCAGGCAGCTGATGGGGTTCCGACCTATCCCACTGCTCCCCATCATCCCTGCAGCACTGCTTCCCCAGCTGGAGGCTCCCTCCTTGGAGTTGTCAGAGCCCTCACCAAGCTTCCATTAAGGCACTTCCCAGGCTCATCACTGATTTGTTTACAAGCCTGCATCTCCCACAGGACTGAGAGCTTCTCAGGACACACCCTGCACCTCCTCAACCATGTCCTGCATCAGGTGAGTGACAAGGGCTCAAAGAGCCTCTGAATGCTGAGCTCCTGCTGAGTCAGGGTCCCTCCTGACAGGGCCCCTACAGGGCTCTTACCTTACATTCCACTTTTAGGCTCACATTGTTTGCAGGTTGCCTCCACCACCTCCATTTACAAAAGGAACCAAATCACAGAGCTAGGGGCATGGCTGGGACTAGACCCCTGGGTCCACCTGACTCCAGAGCCCACATTTTAACAGTTAACCTAGAAATTCTAGCACTCACCCACTAGCCAGGGGTCCTACTAGGATCCTGACCTCTAATCACCCCTTCCAGCTAAAGAGTACAAAATAACACTGGAGTGACAATGTCGTCCACTAAGCAGAGGGAGTCAAACGCTTCCCAATTCAAACCCAATCCCTTCCCAAAGCTTTTTCTTACGTCTTTGCCAAATTTCATCTTCTCTTCTCACCAGGGCATCCCTTAGTACTGAAGGGCTCCTGATATTTACAATAAAGGAAGTGGGACCATCTGAACATGTGGCACCCCATGACTTTACAACACCTTAAGATGGGAAATCTAGACCGGCCACAGCAACAATCTTGGTTTCAAGAAGT